GCCCTGTTCATTGCGGACACTTTACAAGGTAGAATTGATTGCAGTGCAATCTTGGGGCAAGTCAACATTAACGTCCAACCCCGTGCGCTACGTAACAACGTTATGCTGAGATTGCCACTTCAGCGCACAAACTATGGCATGAACGGTGCAATAGGTGGGCTGCAACGAGTGTTCAATCGAGTCTCGGGCATCTTCGATTTCCATATGCCTCGACAGCTGCTACGAAGATACTTCTCATCGTTCTTTTCTGGCACAGTTAACCGTGAATGATTGTGTGTTTTATTTATGTATTTTATTCTTAGTTTTTATTTTTTGATTTGATTTTTACCTATATAAGTTACTTAAATCATCATTGGGGCTTTACACAGCCTGTTGATGCAGACAAATAAATAAATAAAATAAAAGAGTCAAAGAGAACTCTTTAATGCCATTTAAAATGCCATTCATCAGAAGCCACGACACACCAGCTCTATTTTAACCTGATTTGGCCTCTTGTCACTATGCCAAATCGGTCCTGGAATGATATAAAGCACAAGAGGTCAACTACGTGCCAAAAACAATCAATCCGCCAAACTGTCCAGAACTTCGCCCAATAGAAAAGTACTGGGCTCCGGTTAACCAAAAACTATTCGATACGAAGAGGAAAGCAAATGGCATCAATGATTTCAAGAGAAGATGGAGGCACGCCGCCACTAAAGTATCTGAGGATACTGTACGGAATCTGATGGTGGGTATCCCATACTGGATACTTTTTCAAGACTTTAGGTTGATCAGGTACTATTCTGATGATGATCTCAAACTATCGAACAATTAAAATCACATTGCCCAGATATTCTCTCATGATACCAGGTGACTCAGAAAATAATCCAAAGGCCTTCAGGAGATCAGAGATATTCAAAAACATCTCATGATGTTCTCATGTCTTCAGGTTGATTTAGTATAATTCTGAAGATCTTCAACTGCCCAACAATTTAAATCACGACTCAGATATTGACCCACGATAACAGGTGTCTAAAAAAATGTTTCAAAGATCAGCGATCATAGTTTCGCTATGCTTTTTTATGTTGCCATTATCTGATTCATTGTTAAGATACGTCAGAAATATGAAAAACTATTATAGAAACAACTTAAATTTGCTTAACTTAATTTAACAAAATTTTTATGAACCATAGACAATCGCCAAACCTCCCTTCGCCCCCAAGCTGGCAACGTAGTTTATGAATAGCCCCTTAGCGATTTTGCTGCAAATCTTTAAGATTTGTTTCTTAGTTTTCTAGATTTTTTTTCATAAAGAATCGGTGGAAGTGAGAGTAGACGACGATGCACAACTTTGAACGCCGAACTGTTCTGCCACTCATCGCAAGTCGGTGCCATTTGCGATTTTGTCAAAAGTGAGTTTTTCAATGGAAGTGGTAGCTTATCACCCATAACTTCATAACACTGAATAAACTCATCAATTTTGTTCCTGAAAAGTTTGTAAAAGCAGCCCAACGGGTTGTCCCATTGCATGATAACCCGAGCAGGAACGAATATCTCGATACCTTAAATTGGTATTAATGAGCCTGACATAAGAGGTAAAATACCAAAAAATAATACCACACAAATGTTCCCACAATACCATTCTAATACCAAATTATGATAATGAAATACCAGAACAATACCACATAGGTATACTTTTGGTAGCCAAATATGATTTTTTGTTATTTGCAAAGTAGGGTTACGGTATGTAATGTGGGTCTAGTCCTTTCATTCGGCCTATCACGCAAATAAATAATTAATTAAGGAATATTACACAAAAAATAAGGAAAATATTGATCACTGATGATTGATAAATGTGTACCACACACAAATCAATTTATATCACAACATTTCAATACATTTTCAGCTCTCGTAAGTAATAAAACTGGTTGATAATATCACTCTGTTCGGAGTTTTTAGCCGCCATGACTTCTAAGGTTAAGATGGGAAGGTTGCACTGACGATCATCAAATGGCCTGATTATGGCATTTATTGAATGGAATTACCTGATAATACACACTAGACGTAAAACTCACAGTTACTGTTTGAATATTTTATGTTTATTTTAATTGTTTAACAACGTTTTCACAAGTAAATCATGGACCCAACTTTAGGGACACATTTCTTTTCTATGTTCCTAACTTTGGCCCATGAAATTCATTTGACAGCATATAGCAATAAGAGTAACGTCAACAATGTGGTTTGCATTTGGATGATAAGGAACGAACAGGAAGGGAGATTTTTTCTGCCAAATCTGTATAATGAACATCACAATGTTTTGATTTAGATATTCTGCGGTCGAAAGACGATAAGCGAAATTTTTAATTTTTAATTTTTAACTTGAGTGATTTAATGTAGTTTTCGTAAAATTTTCTCTAAGAAATGTTTTGAGGAATGAAGAGTATTAAGTTAACAGTGATAGTGATAAAAAAAAATACATAAGAAAACGTTACCAAGAGCGTTTTTTTTGAGAATCAAACAGGATAGGACGAAGTTGCATCCATAAATAGACCCAATTTGGGGACAATAGACCGATATTACATACATTTCCCTGGTGAGTTTTTGTCTTAAAAAAAGTAAGTTTTTCAACTTTTTGCGGTTCCTGATAGCAAACGACATGATAAGCATATCTAAGCATACCATTTAGCAGTAGAATATCGTTTGCAGGTAAATTAATTGATGAGTTATGATTAAAAACGTAATCTATGGCTGCATATTAGACCGAGGTTAGGGACGTATACCCTATTTTGAATGTAATTTTTTGGTATTATTCTTTGGTATTTTACCTCTTATACCAAATTTTGGTATCAGGTCAGAATTAGGTATTCATTAGTTATTTTCTCCTGCTTGGGAAGCAATGGTATGAAGCTAACTTATAACGCGTTTTTCTCGGTTTGCTGATTTGAGCTATAAGACGGATTTGCTTTGAACGGCAGTGTTGCTCCTGTTTTTTTCCTCTGTTCGGGACCAAACACTACTGCAACCAGTAAATTGATCTATTGTAGTATATCCCGTGTCCTTAGTTTAGTGCATGTCGTATTACTCCTTAACTATTGAGAAATGATGAAGTATTCGATTTTTTTACAGTTGCCACTCATGCATGTATCGCTAGGATCCGACTCTAATTTAAAGGTCCCGCTATTTATACCCTTCGGAGTGCTTTTTTTTCCTTTGGTTTGGCTCCCACACCTGGACCCTACCTATCGACCCATCAACTCATGAACCGGGGACCAACGGCTTTACTACCCTCCAAAGGCGCGCTCCTTTGTCAGTCAAAATTGGATTCCTTAGCAACAAAATTAAACAATGACACCGATAATGACCATGCATCAGAACCCTAGTCTTAACCACAACAAACTAGGGAACAACGAATAGAAGATTAGGAATCACATAGATGAAGACAACTAACTCATTTTTTTTCCTTGTTTCAAGATCATCCTCGGTAGACAAAGCCGAGTCTTGTCACTATCAACAAGGCATAAAAAGAAACAAGGACTAAGATGTGTTCCTTGGATTACTGAAAAATCCTGTTCCCCTAGTTTGAAGTAGTCAGGACTAGGAATCGGTGGTAGATCTTACATCCCGTAACGTACCACGAAAATGTAATCTACCCACGTTACGGGGCGTTGCTCCTGTTAGTAGACGGTCTTTCAAGCAGAGCAGGATTCTGCTTTTGGCTGAAGAATTTATTTTTTACTCTTTGAGACCCAAACCTTAATCACGTTTTTCACTATAAAAAATATAAAAAAAAGAATGCAGTTGACAGGATGTGCATCAAATTTTCTCAAATGTTGGCTGCAGGTTGATCAACTATTGAAAAATTATCGGTATAGATTTGAGCTTGATTCTAGATGAAGTTTGAGCATTACTAGAAAAACAATCCCTATTTGACTGCCCTTTTTCAAATTGTTACTTCTTGAAGTACAATGAATGAAATCAACTGATATTTTGCGGATTTTTACTCAAAACATTGATCTATGAAATGCCTTTAGTTTGACTAAAATTCGTTCACTACAATACAAGTTATATCAATTTAATTTTTTTTTCCCCATGTATTTGCATTATTGTTATGTTTCTGTTTTCCTAGTAACTCTGGTAGATCATCATTTTGTGGTGCGTTACTGCTATAAAATCTACCACCAATTTTTAGGCCTGACCGTTTCAAACTTGGGGAACATGATTTTTCAGTAATCAGTTCTTGTTACTTTCTATGCCTTGTTGATAGTGACCGATAGTGATCTTAAAAATAGGAAATAAATTAGTTAATTAGTCTTCATATGTGGTCATGGTCAATATCGGTATCATTTCCTTTTTTTTTGCTAAGCAATCCGGCACACCTCGAAGGGTATAAATAGTGTAACCTTTCAATTAGTGTCAAAACCGAATTTCAAAATAGTGATGGAATAACACGTAATGTCCTAATCTACACACTAAGATTAATTTACCGAAATCTGTCAAATTTTACCGAAACCTCAACAGCTGAACGTCCAGTAGACAGTTCGTTGATTTTTCACAGATTTTCTGTGATTTTTTACAGATATTCGTTGAAAAATTACAGGAAATCTGAGAAAAATCTCCGAACTGTTTGCCGAACGCTCAGCTGTTGAGATTTCGGTAAAATTTCTCAGATTTCGGTAAACTAATCTTAGTGTGTAAGGACACGGGATATACTACAAAAGATCAAACTACTGGTCGCACTGGTTCTATGTCTCGAACAGATGGATCAATAAAACAACAAAAAAGGTTATCTTCCATTTAATTCCACCTAATTAATTTTGGTATCCATGACAGATACGTATTTCGACTACAATGTGCAGTCTTCATCAGTGTCAATCCCACTAAAGGCATCAAAATCCCCTAGGTAAAAAAGTCAAGATCACAGGTATAAAAATGAAACTACAATGCAACTACAAATCACGATGTTATAGACTTTTGTCCAATACTGTATATTCGAAATAAATCGTAAATTGCCAGGTACTTACCACGTCAATGAGCTGTGATAGCCGTAGACCCATTTTTACTGTTAATCGATCGGAGTTGTTGCCCACGGGCCGTATCAATCGGTTGTAGTTGCTCAGCAGGTCGTCATATAAACGCTTAGAATCTGGGTTGGCCAGGCCGGTAGCAAAATGTAACGCTATGAACACAGCCGTGAGTAGCACGCTCCCCATCTTAGGCCAGGTCCACCCCTAGAACCGGACAACATGAAGAGAAAAATGAGAGAAAAGAAGCAAAAGAGAAACAATTAAAAACTGTTGTTAAGCTTTAGCACGAGAGTAATTAAGATAATCAGGCTGCATCCATGTTCACAACTATTACAACGCCAGAAAAGTTTGTGTGTGTATGTGAAGCCATGCTTTCTACCTTGATAGGTACCTAGTGTTTCACACAGAGGAAAAGAGCCTCTTCAGATTCGGTTGACCATGGTTTTGCTTCCGGAGGGCCTCTCAAGTGGGATGATAAACTTTTACTCCACAGTGGAGAACAATGCTGCCGAGAAGTTGAATATGCACAGAAAGTGAAAAACTCTTCTCCTTGAATTCCTCACCCAATGATACTGGAAGAGTTTTGCTCGAGAGGTTATCTGTAGCCTTTTTCGGAATCATCCGGCTGCACTACGGAACATTTTCCCAAATAACATTCTTTCAACGATGAAACTTTTGCGACTTTTTCCTTTTTCTGGCCCAAGAGCATTCTTCCGGACCAAGCTCTCCTGATGGTAATAATAATAATATAAATACTATAGTCCTGGTTGCCAAGGACCCACAAGATTTCCTCAGGTCTTAGTGTGAATGCACATCCAGGAAGTGGGATGTAATGAAAATTCAAAAGTTGAAACAAGGAAGCATTTCATTCAACATTGATAGGAAAGTTTTCCACTTTTTGTTTTCCTGTTTTGATTCTTGGGCTTTCGAGATTGGCTGGGCGTATGCGGTTGTGTGTAGAATGGTAACCGGTGTGTGGTAAAAACTTGCTGATTCTGATGGCCGAAGAAACCCGTCTCTAGACGACCGTAATTTATGATTTTCGTTGAATGGGTCCTGTTGAATATTTAATGCTGTGCGTTTCGTTAAAGTTTCGATGGAGAAAATAAACAAAAGTCTCAACATCAATTTGATCTCACCTTATAGAAGCAATACTATGTTTTCGAAGACTTATTAACTTTTCGACAATACTGTTTCTTTATGATGTTTCAAAAAGGTTGGTTGAAAATTTACCATTCGTACAGTTACACTAGGGTGCTTCATTTTGAAGAAAAGTGTTAGATTTATTATAGACCAACCTGCAGTTTGATTCATAACCCCAACATATGAGTCAGTGCAAACCATGTTAAAGATTGATGTAGGTTTAAAGGTGGCGCATATGGTACTAGGGTTTTTGATCTAATTTCCGTCCTACTAAGCACAGTGGGGGTTGTTGTGTACCTCTCTTTTCTGAACGAGTTTGAACGAAAAATGGAATATTTCTGTCAAAGATAACTTCTAAATTTATTCACCTTTCCATACGTACAGTTGGATTTGATAAAGAGTCACAAATGGTTGAGATATTGTTTAAAATCTAATACTGCTTCTTGATTCTAAATTCGTTCTACGAGTTTCAATTCCGTCCTAACGCATTGAAACGCCATTAGATTTCCTTCGTCCTACGGATAAACGTAGAAAAATGGGATTCGATAGGAGCGCTTTCTTTTGTGTGAGAACAATGAGCGTAAATACAATGCGCTCTAACAGGATTTATGTTGTAGCTAATGAACTAACGCATCGGAACAAACCTATTATTGGTTTGTGCATGGTGAAATCATTGATATTATTGATATTTTCTGATCGATAGAACAGAAATGGGCGATTACGATGAAGTAGTGCTCTACCCTATTACTGCTGCAGACGACTCAGTACTTGGCTAGATGGGGAAGCTCCCTTTCATCGGAAAAGTGTCTACGTTGGATATCCATCAGACTGCATGTGTGCAACAGTGTACACTGGAGTCGCTTTTTACATGCAACATGGAATCAGAAGTTTCAAAACTACTGTTTGTATTACGTCATATGTAAACAATGACAAGTAACGTCGATTTTTCACGCATTAAAACTTATTCAGGAAAACCGACATCAGCATCCGGTAAACGAAATTTGCATTACCAGATTCTACTGTCGTTCTGCCTTCATGAGTTTTAATCCATGAACCATCGACGCCATTGTTCACACTTGGTTCATTGGATCTTTTCACATGGTTTGCCAGAGTTTGTCTACACGAAATTGCGGATTTGGTTGAATCTGTAATGCAAATCCCTTTTCCTATAGCATTTAGAAGGAACATTCAGTAGACAGCTGAAAAATACGTCTTATTATAATTTTACACGTCAACAAACTTGAACGAGTAACATTTGGTTGCTTTATTTTAAGTCATGTAAAAATGCTAACGGATGCAATTGTATGTCATTTGCGTCGCTAACATGTGTCGGTCTTAGGAGACTTAAAATAACATGAAGTTTTCGAAGTGTAGTGATCATAAATTATACACAGACATGTTCCGATTTCTTCGATATGGATGCCCTTCTATGCAAGAAGTGTAAATATATCGAAAAGACAGAGGGCGAAACTACCTATTCGGATAATTAAGAGGTGAATTGTCCATAGTTCAATTTTATAAAAAAGCCAAACGAATCTGCGACTTGCAATTTCTTTCTGTTTACCGACTGCTGTTCACTATATTTCGCTAAAAATGAAAAGTGCACACACCAATTTTGGATTAATGGTGATTCTGAAGAGGTTTATATTTCTTAGAATGGACTTACAGACCATAATAAAACTGTACATGTGGCTTGGAAGGCATGCTAACAGGTTCATGCCTTTTGTTAAATTTTACAACTTTTTATAAATGTGCATTGATGGTTTCCCATTAACTAAGTTAATATACATTGTTTCACAGCATGCAAGATCTTCCGGAATAAATGCAAAAACAAAGTTCAAAGTTAATCGAAAACGTAAAGTTTACACAAGAATTACAAACGTTTCATGACGCTTTCTACGATGATTAAAATCCTGAGTTTTAAAGTTTCTGTAGAGCGCTTCATGTTTTATTAACTCATTCCAGATTGCCCAGCGGAATCTTCTAAAATGCTAACTCCACCCGGAGGAACTTCTATCCATCCCTGACTTCTTTCATGGCTTCCATTGTTCTGCCGCTCTGTATGTTTCTAGCCAAAGTGTCTAACATTCACAAGGTTGATTTAATTTTACCGATGAGTAATTGTGTTACCGGTCCGAATTCACAATAACGCTGTATGAAGGGCTAAAACGGAGGGGCGGCCCGTAAGCATAGCCAGTTACGCGAAACCCGCGGGAAAACGAGAGTCTCCTTCCAACGATACGATCCAAAAAAACGAATAACACAATTCGCAATACTTATTAAGCTTCCCACAGGATGGTAGGGGAAAAGTTGGCTTCGGCAATACCTTAACCTATTATCGTCAGGGGGGTAAACAAAGTCCTAGAGCACTCAAATTTGGCCAATAGTTGCTCTGAAATACAATGTATCCACATGCCAAAATTGAGCTCTCAAGGATGTTGTTTACCCCCTGACGATAATAGGTTAAGGTATTGCCAAAGAGAACTTTTCCCCTATATGTTAAGAACGGCGCGTCAATCTCCCTGCAACTGTTGGAGTAGAATTCGCGATCGAATCCTTAGGACAAAGAAAATGATGATGTTTATTCCCTCCATCGTCCAGTGGAACATATTAGTTTTCGTATGAATATTTTTGTTCACATTGTAAAATGATTGTATTTGTACCGTGTACTCATTTTTGCAAAAAAAAAACCAATCGGTGTTTTTAGCCAATCAGGGCAGTTTTCACAATCGATATTCCAAAGGACAATCCCAAAAAGTGCATAACTATGTGACTATGTAGTGAAAATTATCAGATTTATTCTAGCTTTTTTCTTGTTCTCACCACCTTTAATACATAGCTCAGCATTTCTTCTCATCAAACTTTTTGTGGCACTCCCTTGTTAGTTCCCAAGTCAGATTTGCTTGATGTGCAATATAAACATTTATACGTAGCATTATTTGCGATAACACCAGCGAAAATGTTAATAATAGTGAGATCAATTGTAATAAGGTCAGATAAATGCAATGGGCTTGTATCATTCCGGTACAACGGATTCCAGCAATTGAAGCTGTGATGATGTATCCACATCATCAAACTGCTATATGGGCACATTAAGGGTAAGTACAATAATAATCAATCGTCGCACACCTGATTCTTTAAAGCCAGTGAACTGATCAGAACTATCATAAATATTTAAACGCATTTTTAATGATTCTTGGTCTCTATCTATGCCGGTTTTTGTTTGAAGAGTACATCTTCGAAACAGAAAGCTACACACTTAGAAATAACTAATTTTACACGTGACGGAATCCATCTTTGACATCAAATATGAGACGTAAACAAACGTGTCATGTAATATTAAGTGCTCCGAGACTAAAAAGTTCGTTGCTCGACGAAAAGTACGTTTAATTGAGCTATATTTCGCGTTTGTTATGACTCAAATTTATATCAAAATTGACGCTCGTTTATGTCACTCTCAGAGCACCTAAATTTACATGATTTTTTCTAAGTGTGTATTTGATTAAAATTATGAACAGACAATTTTCATACCTTTTGAATATCTGTACATGGCAAGATAACAGCTTCCACAAAAAATTTTAGAATAAACCGGATTATTTTCGTTGTAAACTGATTAATATTTTGCTGACTGCAGGGTGTGATGAATGTGTTTCGACTGTTTTGCTTTATTAAAGCACCGACGAATTCCACAAAACTTTTGGTGACTACACACTTAGAAATAACTAATTTTACATGAGGCGTAATCCATGTTGGAAGTAAATCATGGAACGTTAACAAACATTTCATGTAAAATTAAGTGTTCTCAAACCGAAGCATAAGCAAATCGACGAAGAGAACGTTTCATTGAATTGATTTTCTTGTTTCTTTCAACTGATTCTTATGTCGAAAGGGCCGCTTACACGTGTCGGTCTCAGGGAACCTAAATTTACAAAACATTATCGTAGTGTGTACACACTTAGAAATACCTAATTTTACACGTGACGGAATCCATCTTTGACATAAAGGATGAGACGTGAACAAACATGTCATGTAAAATTCAGCGCTCCGAGACTGAAAAGTTC